AAAAGCTTCGAAACGATTGGCAATGCGGCCTAAAAGCATTCATAATTTGAACAACGAAAAAAAAAAATTGCTATTCCAGATTTCAAGAACATCCCATGCCGGTGGTTTGCTTGTCACGCAGCAAAACAGAACTGCCAAACAGGGCACGGTGAAGAACCGCACAGGTGACGGAACAAAGAACACGGTGCTTCTAACACTATTCCTCAGGACAAAACGAAAACAAGAAAACCCATGGAGATGAACAATACTGCTACCAGTAAGAGACGCCCTACCCTTTTTAGCCTCAGTCAGAACCGCGAGAAAGTTAATATCTTCCATTAACTTTACGATAGAGCCATGTAATTAAATACCCACTAACTGCCAAGTAGGAGTAGAATGTGATAGGAACAACTGTTCGCTGGAAAGGTCGGTCCACCGGTCTCCCCTTCGAGAGTTGCTTGGAAGCACAGTATTAGCAGTTCTGGCCTAGCCACTGCCAATTCATCATCGATCTTACTGGTGGAGCCTTCAGCTAATGCGCCCTTCTCTACAGTAAATGTATACGTGAATTCAAATCAATGTAACCATTTTTTTTTTCCATTTTTCAATCAACTCTTTTTTTAATTTTTTCTCGAGACAGTTTTCAAGACAGTTTCAAGATAACCAAAATGAAAATTTTCAATTTCAAGATAAATAAGCGCAAAGAAACAAAACATTTCAACAATATTTCGGTGCAATTCCAATTCAAAACGGACCGATCTCTGTACTTCAGATTCCGACGATACCGCTGATATTCCCTCTGTTGAAACACTCATCGCAGCCACTGAACTCGCCAACGAAGCCATATCGCCTGAAAATTCTTGAGAATCGAGGCACGCCGGATGATAACTGCATCATTTATTATGCTATTTACCCGATGATGGTACTAATGTAATCTCAAATTTTTAATCTCAAAGCACTAACTGCAACCTCACATCACTTAGACACGCAATCCACATATATACATATATGAGAGAGAATGAGGGACGAAGAACAAAAGTCACTAGAAAAATCACCTCCTCCAACTGAACTTGTCTCCGATGCCACAGATCTCGGTGCTCCGCGACCTCGAGAACGGCCACGTCCTGAAGTCGATGACATGTTGCTTGGTCGTCCGAATCACTCAGTACCAGTGATAAATGATCAACCTCAAATTTGGTTCCCATTCGTTTATTTTTTGTTCGGGGACTAGCTATCCCGAAGTAATTTGAAGTCCCGACTGAACACAAAAAGCTTTACCTCCACAACTCGTCCAGGTCGCACAGGATATTACGTTGCATGGCGTCCTGCGCAACCACGACAGCACTGCAGTTCTGTCGGCCGCAATAAAACCGATAACGGCAGCAAACTTAACGATAATACATTCCCAGTAATTCGACCACAATAAATTCTGAAAGAAATTTCATTCGCTGAGAAGTTCCT